TTATATAACGGCTCATCTGAGGAGAATCCTCTCTGAGCCGCGAGCTGTTAGCAGATCCATATTTCTCTAGCAAAAGCCCAATATTAACCCAGTCAGTTCCTAATGCATTACTGTATTACAAACTGCCACAAAAAACAGATGCTGCAACATTCAAAGCACTTGATGCAAAGCTACATTACTAGCAGAACTGAAAACAGATGATTCCACGGAAACATCATAACACTTCAGTGATTAAATGACTCAATGAATCATGTGGAATCAAAAAGCTGTGGCTTATACAATGTGAAAATTCATTTAGGGCATAATGCATGATTTTAATTGCGTGCAACATCATTAATATCGAACATGAATAAGACACCGAGTATCCCAGATATCAGTTGGCTGTAAGAAACATACTGTATGTAAAACTCTACAGAACTGAATCCTAGAGAAAATAATTACTAAAGATTACAGTGTTAATACCATAGTAAAATCACAGCTGTGTAGATATTTAGCACAACTGTGATATTTCAATTATATTCTCTTAAAACTAACTACAGCAGTTTGTAATTATACATTTATTTTATATTTCTTCTCCACAAAATAAAATTGTTCCAAAGGAAGCCAGAGCCACAGCCGGACTGGATCCGCATAAACGAGAGGAGCAGAGCGACAGACACAAAAGGTTATGCTAAATGTCAACACTGTTAGAACAAAGCTTCCCAAATCAGACAAATCAGAAACAAACAAGAATATGAACGCTCCCGATGATGAAGATAAAGACTACTCAACATGACTGAACATCACCTGTCTGCCTCTGTTTGACCCTGCCTGCTTCATGACCACGTCTCTGTCTTCTCCACAATAAAGCCTTGCAGATGGATCCTCGCGTCTCGTCAGCTCTGTAACAACTGAACATGAACACACATGTGTGTTCTATAAATAGCTGAACTGCAAAAGCATTTACTCAAAGTTTAGTCTTTCCCAGCTTCAACATCAGAATTAGGCTAACAGATAGCATTAAAAAAATCATTGTTTTATGTTTGTTTCTATTTAGAATACATGGTGGACAATACATTTGCAATGGTATATTAGAGTCTTGAGCTGGAATAGTTTTTTATGAAGATCCAGAGGGAGTTCATCACACGCCTAAAGACTTCCATCTCTTTCCATAAAAGAAAAATAAATCTATCTCTACCCTCCCATTCCGGAACATGTTTTCAAGCACTTACTCTGAGAAGCCCATGAGCCAAATCCATGACACAAATTCAATAAGTATAATCATCTGTTTTCATTAGTTGGGCACTGGGACGAGGGTCTTACGCTGACGTCCTATAGGAAGCAGATAAGCCATTTCTATAAGTGATGCATTTTAATAAGCCGCATCTGGCTGTTTGGTGAATAGTGAAAACTGAACACAGAGGATTTGCTCACTCCCTGTAAGCACGAACTGGACTGGACTGTTCTAGAAAAGAGCCGGCGACCCACTGCTGAATGACAGTTTAAGCATCTGTGAGCACAGAACTCAACGAGCCGGCATGTAGAAACCGTACATGATGTGCTAGCACCCACGCTGTCTCATTTCTCCTGTTTTAGTCACACAGTAATGAGCTTTTTACCTTCCAACAGGGCTGCATGAAATGACGCGGTCTGAGTAACTGACAGCTCACGTAAGAGCACATGAAGGTGAATTATTAGAAACTGCGAGAGTAAAAACACAACAAGGGAGACACTCGGCATCAGCTCAGAAAAACCCACAGAAGAAGGATTGACGCACACAAACCCGCCATCTTTAATATGTAGTACAATCCTGAGGAAAAGAGCTTTGCACATAAACCAGCATTCAGGGAGTCGAACCTGTAATAAGCTGAAGCTTATATATATCTCTGCATAATAGGTTACAATCAGCAGATTCTTGAAGATACTGGACACAAAAAATATAGCATGCTGAGTGTCATATGGCATTCAAATATAAACAGTGTTGGGAGTAATGTATTACAAGTAGCAACGTTAAGAGTTACGTAATCAGATCACTTTTTTCAAGTAACTAGTAAACTAACGCATTATTTTTAATTTAGTTACTTTTTCAGATAAGTAACGGCAGTTACTGTTTCTCATGTATTGACTGACAGCTCTCTTGTGCTCATGTTGAGAGAATCAGGAGTGAGTGCAGAGGTGTTGTGTGTGAACATGATCTTACTGTAGATCTGGACTGGTATTTCTCAAAATGACTAAAAACAGTGAAATGCAAACTCAGAACATGCAAAACCTGCAATAATTAAATATGTTAAATAGCACAAATATCCTTTATGTATTTAATCCCATTTTGTTAACCAATATTGTTGCTGCTGACCTTCAATGATCCAATTCAACCATTCGAATAAGCAAAAATTACTTCCTTCAGCCTTATTGAGGCACATTTATTTAACTTTTGGTGTGAAAGGGCTTTTACATTTGACAAAAATAGAAGTTTTCATATTAAAAACAAACAAGCAAGCCCAGCCCAGATGAGAAAAAGTAACAAAAACGTAACATAATGCATTACTTTTCATAAAAAGTAACTAATGCAATTAGTTACTTTTTTAAGAGAGTACCGCAATATCATAATGCATTACTTTTAAAAGTAACTTTCCCCGACACTGAATATACATATATAAAAAAGAAGAATATGCGCCTTACTGTTTTTGGAGAAAGAAAGAGATGAAGCCCTGCAATGTCAAGAAATGAGCAAAGAAATCAGTGACATTATCTTCTCTAATATCTATTATAACATCATCACACCACAACAAGACTGACTAACTCAAGCAAATTACAGCACAATTACATCACTCATTTGGAAACTCAAACAAATGAAGTAAAGGTCAATGATATCAGACCCTAAAAACACATTGACACTCTATCAGCACTCCGATAAAACACAGGCTCTCGAGCAGGTATAGAGTATAGAGACACAACATCAGGATATCTTCAGCCCTAATCAAACACACCTTCTGTAATGGTGTGTGTTCGTCTGTCACAATCTGAGACACAGCAAGGATCGACTCCAGTCTGTGTCTCAGCACTATTTATTATCATTCTCTCTTATCATTGCATTATCAGAATGACTTTTATTTACTCTACTTGTAATTCAATTGTATTCTTTACTGTCATCCGGACTACATTTCTTTGTCAATTACACTGTTTTATTTTTCTTAATTTATGTTTATGTTCTGCACTATTCTCAGTTTGAACTGCAAATGCTGCAAATGCTTTAGCAATATGAATGCAAAAATATCTGTCATGCCAGTAAAGTACCTTAAAACTGTGTGTGTGTGTGTGTGTGTGTGTGTGTGTGTGTGTGCATGTTTATGTGGTTTTTGTGTGTGTGTGTGTGCGCATGTTTATGTGGTTTATGTGTGTGTGTGTGTGCGCGCATGTTTATGTGGTTTATGTGTGTGTGTGCGCATGTTTATGTGGTTTATGTGTGTGTGTGAGTGTGTCTGTGTGTGCATGTTTATGTGGTTTATGAAGACACAAATTTGTATAATAACATGGGTATGATAGGTATTACAACGAGAAGGTGATTTATGAGGACATTTTCGGTGTCCCTGTAATTCAAAAGGCTTATAAATAATTCAGAATTAGTTTTTTTGAAAATCTAAAAATGCAGAAAGTCTCCTGTGAGGGGTAGGTTTAGGGGTAGGGTTGGTGTAGGGCAATAGATTATACGGTCTGTACAGTATAAAAACCATTACGCCTATGGGATGTCCCCACTTTTCACAAAAACAAACCTGTGTGAGTGTGTGAGTGTCTGTGTGTGTGTGTGTGATTGTGTGTGTGTGTGTGTGTGTGTGTGTGTGCTCATCACAGACAGACTCATTGCTCTGACTCTGTGAAAACGTCTCTTCCAGCTGGGCTGTGAATTAAACGACAGCTGATTTCAGGCTTGACCTCAGAGATCCACCACAGTGGAAAAGCAACAATAGAGTGACCATCAGCCTTTAGTTTCACCCATCTGCATTCTAACTGAATTAAGAAAGTCTGAGAGTTCAAGAGTTCAATTTGAGATAGCAAACAAAACGCAAAACTGCAATTTAGATGCATTTTAACACACTGAATAAATGAACTTCAATGGTTTAGGCTGGAAAATCACTCCATTTCCCAGAATGCTTTACCTGTGCTGAATTACTCTGAATTACAGTTCCAATTCAACTTCCTGCATGCCAGTTCAATTCAAATTCACACGCATGAACTGAAAGTGAACTGATTCTTCAGTTCTGAATTCTGCTCAACCTCTTTCTAAGTCCTAAACATCAGGACGGACGGTGAGCATGATTTAACCAAGTACAACATGTTCCCGGATCAACATCCTTGTTGATCCGGGAACATCATTCCAATCAACCAATCAGAATTGAGCGATAACTTTTCAGGAAATGTCAGTTTTAGGCTTACGATCAGGATTAGGTGCTTCTACAGCCTTGTTAATCAGCTATCATTTCTCTCTGATTTTAGGAATAAATTATGGGTAAGGTTAGGTTTAGGGGTGGGGATTGGGTTAAGTCTGTATTTTTGGACAGTAATGTTGATCCAGTAACATGTCTTATTTGGCAAAATCACGGCGAACCAGGACGGACATGTGACGCGTGTCAAAATGAGAGAAACGCCTCCTCCTCTCATAGTCACTGTTTGTGGACTTTTGAAGAACAGCCAAGCTGATGCTTGTAATGCATTTCCAGCTGTGCATGAGCATCTCCTGTGCATTTTAATATCATACTAAATGAAGGTCGTGGCAGCATTTACAGACAGGCCTCATGCTGCCCTCTGCGGTTGACCCTAACACACACACAATCCACCAAAAACACACCACTAACTACAGATCAGATCCAAAGTTTTTTGCTGCAGAGTTTAGCAGCAACACCTGCCTGGGAGTTTCTAGAGATCCTAAAGACCTGGACTGGTTGAGCTGTTGAGTGAAGGATGAAGCTTAACTCTTCAGGAAACAGCCGGACCGGATACACCTGGCTTAGAAGAGCTCATCTTACCTGTGACGGACAGCTCGGTGGTCCTCCTCACCACAAAACTCCCAAACTGTAATTCGCAGGTGTAATTCCCGATGTCGTCTTCCCGCACGTCTTTGATGGAGAGCACATCCACCTTCCTGACGATGCTCTGTCTCCACTGTTTCGGCCGGCATTCCTGCATCCATAAACAGATCGGCAGTTTAATGCGGCTCCGAACACATTTCATTGGAATGACATGTTAATAAATCGCCTTCAAGTGGGCGGCTTTCGATGCTGTCAACAGACTGCAGCACTACAGATTTCATACTTGACAGTGTTTTGACAACAGCTAGAGTTTCATCTGTAATTGTTACCTTGGCAACGCCTGTCAATCATTTATTTAGCACTTATTAATTTCCATGTCGATGAGCAGATGAGTTCATTATCAAGGCAGCGAACCATAAGAAGATAATGCACGAACTGTGCTGACGTTAACCAGTGTGAATCTCAGCTAAGAAATAAATGTTCAAAGATGAAGGGTTTTCTAATCGTCAATGATAGCGCAGATGCAATTCAACCATTTGAATAAAAAATGATGAGAAAAAGCACTACAAAATATTAAAACGTTTTTTGAATGAAGAAAACTCTTTGTTAGACTAGCTCAATTTATATAAAGCCACGGCATGAAGACTGATATCAACCAGTAAAGAACAGGATCAAATGAGTAATTTGTTGCTCATGCCGTGTGTTTGTTTTATCTTTCAGTTTGAACTCGTATATCAAACTAAGCAGAATGAAGAAGTTCACATTGATGAAAACTAAATCCAGTTATGTTTCCAGCACAAACGTCCATAGCCACGGTCTGTCTTTCATTCAATTTAGCCAGAAAGAGTGGCAGACGTTTAATTTGAGGCTCATCTGAATTAGTGTGCAGTCCAATTTCACCTGTCTTATGGGTGGCCGAAACTGATCCATTCACAAAACTTTCCATCTCATTGTCTTTGCCTCAGGACATCAGGACTGATATAAAGTCAGTTTCTGCCTAACCCTAACTGCATGAGTCTTCTGCATGAAGATGATGGCATGGAAACAAACTGAAGGGTATTACACTAAACCAAACAACCTGTCTGCTCAGTGGTGAATACAGCACGTGATCGTACCTTGTACCATGTAATCTCTGGCTCTTTTCCGGTCTGTATGTAGTCATCGATGTCAGGACAGAGGATGTCTTTGCTCTTACTCAGCTCGGCCTTCTCGAAGTACCTCATCTTGGAGTTGTAGCAGAGACCCGTGTTGTTCTCGGCCACCGTGAGCGACATGGACACTTTCATACAGTATGTGGAGTTCCTGCAAAACACACCAAACCAACACAGTCAACAAGCTTCACAGAAACAGGCATTTCATTCACACTGGAAAAGGCTTTCAAATGTTCTTTTATTGCGATCAGCAGGAGACAGGAATCTCACGATCACATTACGACAAGGGTAACCTTTCAGAAATCGCAGATCTTTACTGCTGAAATGAATCAGTAAACACTGTTAAAAGGGTCTCAGTGTTTTCACATCATTCTCAGCAATTGTTTCTTTGCTTGTCTTGGGCTCAGGACATCTCAGATCAGCAGAAAAGAGAGCAGAGAGCCAGCAGGCCATTTCTCAGCTTTGTTAGAGTGGCGCTCTCAGCGGACGCCTCTTACTGCCACAATTGAATTTATTGGAAAACAACTCCCTGAACAGAAGAAACAACACAATGCAGAACAGAGAGAAGAAAGGACAGAAAGTGCTGACTCAAAGAAGAGTGAACGGAGAGTAAGAGACAGACAGAATGAAAACTAAAGATTAACATCCCTCCACAACATGTGATCCCCAGCTCCATTTTTAAAACAGGAGTCTTATAATTAGCCGGCGATTTGATTCCCTGGTGAAATAATTCAACACTGTTTTCCTGTAACACTAAACACAGCTCTCGTTTATATACAGGACATAAAAACACAGGTGGACAAAACCAGAGTCTACAAATACAGTGAGTAACAATGAGTAATGAAAGGAGAATGTGGTCAGTCTACAGCCGGCGGATCTCATCCGGAGTTCGGGGCCATTTAACTACATGTAATCTGGATTACGTGATCAGATTCCAAAAATGAAATACTTGTAATTAGATCAAATTACATAAAAATTAGTGCTGGGCAATGATACATTTTTTAAAATCACGATTAATCAACTTTGCTCAGAGTCCAGAGCCTCAGCCACCTTCTGAGTAGAGACCTGCACGATCGCGGGTACCAACGCAACAGAGTGCGGTGCGGGCGAGTGATGGGAGAGTGCGGGTGTGGGCGGGTAGAGACTCGTGCGCGATAATAAGTACTCACACTAGGCAATCTTGATCATGCTCGAGCGCGATTGACCCCCAAGGCCCAGTTTGACATAAAAATTAGTGCTGGGCAATGATACATTTTTTAAAATCACGATTAATCAACTTTGCTCAGAGTCCAGAGCCTCAGGCACCTTCTGAGTAGAGACCTGCACGATCGCGGGTACCAACGCAACAGAGTGCGGTGTGGGCGAGTGATGGGAGAGTGCGGGTGTGGGCGGGTAGAGACTCGTGCGCGATAATAAGTACTCACACTAGGCAATCTTGATCATGCTCGAGCGCGATTGACCCCCAAGGCCCAGTTTTTTGACTAGTGTGATCGCTCCGTGCCGTGCTCGGGCGTGGTTTGTTTAGCCGGCCCTGGCTCGGTTGGAAGAGGTGGGCGAGAGCGCGGTTCAATTGGGCTTTGGCGCGGTACGCATGTAGTGTCAGAGCGCTGAACTTCTGATGCATGCAGCACGATTGCGTGAACATTTCTGAGCGGCAAGTTAAATGGTCTATGCTTAATTTCATGAAGTGTGTGATTAATCGCAATTAATCACAGAAAAAAGGATGTGATTAATCAGATAAAAAATTTGAATCGATTGACAGCCCTAATATAAAACCAAAGCTATTTGCCACTGCGAGGGCATTAAAGTTTTTATATAAAATATTTTAGTTTGTTATCGAAAAACAAGTTATACTCAAGAGTCCAGAGCCTCGATCATAACATTATAACAGGCACCTTCCGAGAAGAGACCTGCACTATCGCGGGACCCAACGCAACAGTGTGTGGCGCAGGACAACACTTGATGGGCGAGTGCGGGTGGGTAGACTCGTGTGCGGGATGCGCGAGAATAAGGGTGTACTCTCACTAGGCAATCTTAACCGCGCCCGAGCGTGTTTGACCCCCAAAGCTTGGTTCGTTTGACTAGTGTGATCGCTCCGTGCAACGCTTGGAAGAGGTGGGCCAGAGCGCAGTACACATGTAGTGTGAGCACTAACCGCGCCGGACCGCGGAACTTCTGATACATGCAGCATGATTGCGTGAACATTTCTGAGCGGCAAAAGTGATAGATCTGTAAAGCAATATATTGTGAGAGGGCCGTGTCTTACCGCATTCCAAACAACTCAAAATAATAAACCACAAAGTTAATAAAACGATGCACTCCACTGTGCTGAGTGAGAGCGCTTCTCTGCTGTCTTCACGTACTATCGGAAACTTACTAAGTTACTATTTCCCACTTATGAATTTGTGAGTGCTTCATGTGAACGCTGCTGCAGTCTTAGGTCCCCCCCATATGCTCTCATTGGTTGAGACGGGTGATGACACCCGTCCCAAGCCAGTAACCTACTGATCAACATCCCACCCTCCTGTAACCCATGGTTTGTCTGTGTGTGTATTTAGAGCCAGTGAGCAACGGACTTTCATAATAATAAAAAAACTGCGTTAACACGCGATAAAATAATTGTCGGCGTTAATCAATTAATGCGTTAACGCGATAATAACGCGTTAACTTGCCCAGCCCTAATAAAAATACATTACATTAAAATACTCGTAGTCAGTTACTTTTTTATTGATTACATATTATTCACATTATAGTCAGTCCATTCAGAAAGTCGTCCAGTTTTGTGGACATTCACACAGTGACTGGTCACTAGTCAGGAGCACACAGAGCAGTGGGTAGTGAACACACACACACACACACAGCAGTGGGTAGTGAACACACACACACACACACAGCAGTGGGTAGTGAACACACACACACACACACAGCAGTGGGTAGTGAACACACACACACACACACAGCAGTGGGTAGTGAACACACACACACACACACAGCAGTGGGTAGTGAACACACACACACACACACAGCAGTGGGTAGTGAACACACACACACACACACAGCAGTGGGTAGTGAACACACACACACACACACAGCAGTGAGTAGTGAACACACACACACAGTGAACACACACAGAGCAGTATTTATGTATCTTGGTCTGACACTGTATACAGGCAGAGGAAGACAAGTTGAGCTAGAATCTTAGTAGTATTCCTGGAAAATATTTTGTTTTTAAAATACAACCATGTAAATAGGATTTTTAAGGATGAGAATATATTTGCAACAATTAATGAAATGACTCCAAACTTGTCTCTGACTCCAGCTTAAAGACTCCATACTTGACTCGGACTTGTGGCTTAAAACTGATAAAAATTTGTTTTTAATACAGTGTTCATTTCTTTGTATAAAAGCATCTGGCAAATGCATAAATTTAAATGTAAATCCCCTCAGAGTTTAGTTCAGAACCTGACATCACAAAATACATCAATTTTTGGGGGAAATGCAGCTGCTGTTAACCATGAAATTACAGGTCTAATAGTATTGATCTTGGAAGTAAAAAGGTTCATAAAGTCATTACTGCTGTGCTGTTGGGGAATGTCTGCGCCTGTTGATGCTTTATTTTTTGTTAATTTAGCCACTGCATTGAATAAATGTGTTTTCTTCTAAAAGAGATGAAAAGTAAGCAGATCTAGCCGTTTTTAGAGCTCTTCTATAAGTGGAAGTACTTTCACTCCATGCAATACAAGATACCTCTAGTTTTGTTTTGTTCCATCTGCGCTCCATTCTCCGAGATGCTCTCTTTAAGGCACAAGTGTGTTCGTTATACCATGGTGTCGGACTCTTTTCCTTAATCTTCTTTAAGCATAAAGGAGCAACTGTATCTATTGGATATGCTGAGGAATTTAAACATATAGCTTTAGCTATACGGAGAATACACGAGACTAGATAATGATCCGAGACAGTTAGTCAAGTGCAAACTCTAAGACTACGTGCCATATTTCTAGACAGAAGAGCAGCACCACCCCAGAAGGGATGAAGACCATCTCTTTTCAACAGGTCAGGTCTGCCCCAAAAACTCCTCCAATTGTCTATGAAACCTATGTTATTCTGCGGGCACCACTTCTAGCCATTGAGTGATGACAGTCTGCTATGTATCTCATCACCACGGTAAGCAGGGAGGGGACCAGAGCATATTACAGTGTCTGACATCAAATCACACTGGAAAATGCTTTCAAATGTTCTTTTATTGGGATCAGCAGGCGACAGGAATCTCACAATCACATTACGACAAGGGTAACCTTTCAGAAATCGCAGATCTTTACTGCTGAAATGAATCAGTAAACACTGTTAAAAGGGTCTCAGTGTTTTCACATCATTCTCAGCAATTGTTCCTTTGCTTGTCTTGGGCTCAGGACATCTCAGATCAGCAGAAATGAGAGCAGAGAGCCAGCAGGCCATTTCTCAGCTTTGTTAGAGTGGCGCTCTCAGCGGACGCCTCTTACTGCCACAATTGAATTTATTGGAAAACAACTCCCTGAACAGAAGAAACAACACAATGCAGAACAGAGAGAAGAAAGGACAGAAAGTGCTGACTCAAAGAAGAGTGAACGGAGAGTAAGAGACAGACAGAATGAAAACTAAAGATTAACATCCCTCCACAACATGTGATCCCCAGCTCCATTTTTAAAACAGGAGTCTTATAATTAGCCGGCGATTTGATTCCCTGGTGAAATAATTCAACACTGTTTTCCTGTAACACTAAACACAGCTCTCGTTTATATACAGGACATAAAAACACAGGTGGACAAAACCAGAGTCTACAAATACAGTGAGTAACAATGAGTAATGAAAGGAGAATGTGGTCAGTCTACAGCCGGCGGATCTCATCCGGAGTTCGGGGCCATTTAACTACATGTAATCTGGATTACGTGATCAGATTCCAAAAATGAAATACTTGTAATTAGATCAAATTACATAAAAATTAGTGCTGGGCAATGATACATTTTTTAAAATCACGATTAATCAACTTTGCTCAGAGTCCAGAGCCTCAGGCACCTTCTGAGTAGAGACCTGCACGATCGCGGGTACCAACGCAACAGAGTGCGGTGTGGGCGAGTGATGGGAGAGTGCGGGTGTGGGCGGGTAGAGACTCGT